AATAAACCAGTAAATATAAGTTAAGTTTTTCCCTGAGTTCTGAGAGACACTTTAACAAATTACTCAAACCCAAAGAAGGAACAGTGGAAACTTAACAGTCTGTCAGAAGGTACAGAGGTCCGGACTTGTGACTGGTAGCTGGGATTGGAGGTAGCCTTGGGGACTGAGACCTCAACCTGTGGGATCTGACAGTATCTCCAGGCAGACAGCGTCAGAATTGAATTGGAGGATACCCAGCTGGTGTCCACTGTTTGGTGGAAGGGAGAAACCACCACATTTAGTCACAGAAGTCTTCTGTGTTGGTGATTGTTACAATGTGAAAGCAGAGAGAAAAAATCCTATATGAGAAAGTCTCTCTAAAATAGTCCTTCAATTAGGGGTTTGTGTGATTTTTCTCTCATGATTAGATTGTGTTTATGGGATTTTAGGAGGAAGACATTTCAGATAAAGTGCCATTCTCAACACATCATATCAAGGGTATGTGCTATCAACATGAATTATCACTGATGATGTTAACTAAAGAAGATCACCTGGGTAGGTAATAACAAGTCAAGTTTCTTTACTAAAAAGTTGTGTTTCCCTCTTTTGAAACTGTACTGTTCAGAAGCAAGTCACTAAGTACAGCCTACATTTAAGGGGTGAGAAGTTATGCTCCATCTCCTTGAGGAGAAAGCATCTAAATAAATAATCTGAAATTCTTCTGTAAGTGTATTGTCATATTTTAGCTAACTTCATACTTCTACTCACAGTTAGGTTATAAATTACCTAAGTTTTTTTGTTTTATTTTCCATAAATCTTGAAATAGGCATGGCATTCAACAAATTTTTGCCAAATATATAAATTTTCCAAGGCATATAATAAATTGTTTGATTCATTATCATATCTTCAACATCAAGAATATAATGCATGAATTATACTAGAATATTTAGAATTAGAACATAAGAACAAGGATGTGTCTTTATGCAGTAGTTATCTCTAGATAATAAAATGGTACCCAGTTCAAGTTAAGTGCTCAGTAAATACTTGATGAATAAATAATTTAAAAATATAAACTTCTGTTTAGCCTGTGAAAAAATGTTACATACGAGAATTTCCCTAACACACAGTTTAAGAGAGGAAAGAACAAGCCTAACTTAAAAAAACATAAGGCTGAAAAATATTCCAAAATCTTGACCCAGTACATTCATCTATATTTTGCATCAACATAGTCTCTGAATTTTTCTATACTTTCTAAACCCTTGAAAGCTATATTCAACAATAAGTAATAAGGTGTATGCACTCAATATTTACTTGAAAACAGTAAATGATTCTTTATTATACTGTGTTAAGTGCTAAGGCTACAAGTGTGAGGAAGATGCACACAATCTTGGCCTCACTGAGCTCAGAGATGAACAAGAAAAATGGGCAGCTAAATCAACAATTACAATGTTTAATAAATGTCCTAATGGATTAATTTGAAAGAGCTGGGAAAGGTCCTAGTGTAAACAGTCTCAGAGGACTTCTAGGAGAAAAAGAAAAGTAAACTAAAATGAAGGAATAGGAGTTGACTATGCCCCAGGACAAGGAAAAGGTAGAAAGAACAACATGTTAGAAAGTAAAGAGGTGAAAGATACCATGGTACATTTGAGAAGCTTGCTAAAATAGAGATCATAGACTGGAACAGACTCTTTGTGGCAATAAGATAACCAATTATGGGCTGGGCTCAGTGACTCAACCTGTAATCCTGCGCCTTGGGAGGCCAAGGTGAGTGGATTGTCCGAGCCTGTGGGTTCGAGACCTGCCTGGGCAACTTGGCGAGACCTCATCTCTACAATAAATCAAAAATCAGTCAGGCGTGGTAGTGCGCACCTGTAATTCCAGCTACTTGGAAGGCTGAGGCAGAAGGATCGCCAGAGCCCAGCAGGTCGAGGCTGCGGTGGCCGGGAGCGGCCACTGCACTCTAGTCTGGGGGACTGAGTGAGACTCCAACTCAAAAAAAAAACAAGATAACAAATTATAAGCAAGACCTAAGACCATGCCAGACAAACTTAAAGAATAAACTACACTTAAAGAATAAACTTTGTTCTAACTGCCACAAGATTTTTATTTTTTCTAGCAGCTAAACAAGTACTGGCTTCAAGATAAGCAATACTGAAACAATTGCAGCTTACCAACCACCACCCACTGACTAACTGACCCCAACCCCACTTCACAAGACATAACCATGGCCTTGATTGGACAAGAAACTGATGTCAGTAACTTTCTCCTGATAAGAGACCACTGACAATACACTGACTGGTTCTGGCCAATTTGCAGAGGCTGCACATTGAGTGCCTTTCTGTCCTTGACTTTACCTTTTGACTTAAAAGGTCTCATTACAATGCATTTAAGTGTTGTCTCCACTCAAAAATAAACACAGGATGCATTTGACAAGCATGTTTGCTTACTATGCATGTTGTGTTCCTCCTTTATGAATATTCATAGCTAGTTCTTGTTTAGCTGCTATAACCTGTTGAATATGTATACTTGACCAACCCATTCAGCATAAATTCTCACCCTTCTATCCCAAGAAGTGTCTGCCTTCGGTCTCTGCTGGAAGCTATACTTCCCAGCTATCAAGATGACTAGCCTGTAGGCTGCAACCCTTCATAAAAAATAAAGTTCTCTCCAAATTTGTACATCTCACAATTCCCTTCAGTCAATAGGCCAAAAGAAGTTCCTCCTAACTAAAGAATGATGTAGACAGGCCAGGAGGAGTGGCTCATGCCCATAATCTCACCACTTTGGGAAGTGGAGGTAAGAGGACTGCCTAAGCCCAGAGGTTCAAGACCCGCCTGGGCAACCTGGCGAGACCTCATCTCTACAATTAATCAAAAAATTAGTTGGGCATAGTGGTATGCGCCTGTAGTTCTAGCTACTTGGAAGGCTGAGGCAGAAGGATGGCCTAAGCCCAGCAGGTCAAGGCTGCAGTGGCCATGAGCCACTGTACTCGGCCTGGGTGACAGAGTGAAACTCTGATTCTAAAAAACAGTGATGCAGAGGAGAGAAGGAAGCTGAAAGGTGGCTCAGCCTGTAATCCCAGGCCTTTGGGAGGCTGAGGTGAGTGGATTGCCTGAGGCTGTGGGTTTGAGACCTGCCTGGGCAGTGAGACCTCATCTCTACAATAAATTTTAAAAAATCAGCTGGGCGTGGTAGCGCATGCCTGTAATTCCGGCTACTTGGAAGCCTGAGGCGGAAGGATCGCTGGAGCCCAGCAGGTGAGGTTGCGGTGGCCGGGAGTGGCCACTGCACTCCAGTCTGGGCGACAGAGTGAGAGACTCCAACTCAAAAAAAAAAAGAAAGAAAGAAATAACCAGGAGCCAGGACATGATGGAAACTGTGTGCCATATTAACAAGTTTGAACTTTATACTATAAGTAAATGGAATCCCATCCAAAAAAAGTTTTGTTTTTTGAGTTGGAGTCTCACTCTTCGCCCAGGCTGAAGCACAGTCTCACGATCACAGCCTCTGCAGCCTCAAACTGCTAGGTTCAGGTGATCATTCCACCTCGGCCTTCCAAGTAGCTGGGATTACAGGTGTGTACCACCACATCTGGCTAATTTTTTTTTTTTTTTTTAATTTACTGTGGAGACAAGGTCTTGCCAAGTTGTCCAGGCTGGTCTCAAACCCCCAGGGCTCAGGCAGTCCTCTCACATCCATCTCCCAAAGTGCCATATAGGCATGAGTCACTGTACCCAGCCCAATAAAAGGTTTTTAAGTACAGAAGTGACATGACCAGATATTAATTAGAAGGGGGGAAAAAACCTTATTCTGAATTCATGCTGTGGAAATACAAAGGAGGGGAGCAATAATGGATACCAGAACTCAGATGAGAGAGGCTACTGTGAAAGACAGAGGCCAAGGCTAGGAGTGAGAGTAACAAATGAACTTATACACTATTAAGAGATAGAAACAACAGATCTTGGTAATACATTAAAGGTAGAGTTTGAGGGGGAGGAAGAAGTAAAGAATGTGAAGCCCTATCAGTCACTAAGATGGTAGCTATTGCTGACAGGCAGGCTGGCAGACAAAAAGATAATGATTTCTGTTTGGGAGATGCAGAGCCACACTGAGACTGCTACAAGAGTCTAAAAGTCATTGGGAAGATAAAGGCAAGGAAGAGAACTTGGAGAGCAATCAGCAAACAGATAACTGAAATACAGGTGTGAATGAGAACTCCCAGGATTAAAGTAAGGAGTAGGAAGAGGCTTAGGCTGGAAGTTGCTATGTTGAGAATTAGTATTTAAAAGATCTTCAGTTATCTGAGCATGTTAATGAATATGCCAGTGCTCATACTAAGGGGTAACATGGATAAAGAAGGTACAGTATAAAGCTGGTTTTTAATTGTCCTAGCCAAGATTCACATACTTAGATCCAAGAACACAAAGGAAACACTCATTACGTAAGTTAGTTCTCCCAAGAAGTATTATGGGGAAGAAAAAAATCTAGGTCCAAGAACAAGATAGTCTTTGGGTCTAGTCTGATTGTAGTAACAATTAGCTATGTTAAATTTTTTCTTCATCTATAAAACCAGTTCTCTAGAAATCCTTTGCTAGTCCAAGATTCAATGACTCTCTCTGAATCATTCTATAGTCAAGCACGATGTACAAATAAGATATATAAGAAACATGGCATAAAATATGAGCACTGGATTCAGTTAAACCTGGAGATCCAATTACTCTCTTTCATTTACTAAATTATGAAAACCTAGCAAGTTGTTTAATTTTTCTATGCATCAGTAAACTTATCTCACACAATTTTATAAGTAAATGAGATAAGTTATGAAGTACTTCACACAGTGCCTAAGACATTAAAACCATTTTGCAAATGTCATTGTCTTAAATATCATTAGTAATAAGCCCTAAATTCCATACTGTAAGACACAGAACTTCCAATACAATGAACCATATAGAGCAGAAGCTACTAAATGTTTACAGTCAGAGAAGACTAGAGAAAATAAAATGGTGGGTAGGCCTCTGTACCTGGTGGTCCCGCAGCAGCATCATCTTCCACAAGCTCTCCGTCTTCTAATTCCTTGCTGTTATATTCCACATCATTTTCTCCAGACCTAAGAATGTCAAAATCAGTCAATATCACAGAGTAAATTCAATGAACATTATTTGTCACACCTACATGAATTTTGTAACAATGGTACATGTTTTCTTCAATGAAATAAGATATTTCAAACTATTAAAGGAAAAGATTTTTGTCATCACATCTAACAGTTAGTGCTGATGTTCAAACAACCTGTAAAAAAATATCAAGAATGGTTGGCAACATGGAATTTAAAAAAAAACTTAACAAAAATTTATAGTTTCAAACAGCTAGGAGAATACTGAACATTTCCAACACAAAGAAATGACAGATGCTTAAAATGACAAATATGCTAATTACCCTGATCAACTCACTATACACTATATGCACTGAAACATCATTATGCATACATGAATATGTACAATCAATTATTATTTGTCAATTAAAAGAAACAAGATTAGAGCCGGGCTCAGTGGCTCAGCCTGTAATCCCGCGCCTTGGGAGCCTGAGG